TTAAGCAAGCTTTTCTCCTGCTATGATACTAGGTAGATTTGAACAAACCAACCTTTCAATAAATGAGGGCAAGTTGTTTGCATCATCTAGGGACCTAAATTCATGAATATACCAACAATCAATTAACCAATTAATGAATATATATTGTTGAGTTAATATAACAATAATCAGTGAGCTGTAATGAAAAATAAGAAAGCTATTTAGTGCTATAGATATGAATGAGCAGTCCTAGAAATTGAATATTACAAAGGACCTTCAAAGAGTTGAGGGAAAATAACATTTTCCTTTGATTCTATTTTTTCCACCAACCTTTTAAAGACTAGCTTATTCCTAGTAGTAGTGTATGATATGAAGGAGTAAGTTAAGTTGTAAGTAAGTTGTTTTGCAAAGATCAGGAGCTCATCTGAGAGTGGGAATTGGCCCTGTCCTATGGGTCTACCAATTGCAATAACAGCCACAAGACTCTAGTCAGTTCTAAACCTTGACAGCTAACCAATATGTATCTCCTCTGTACCCTTTTCCCACTATTTGCAGACGCCCTTGCACTTAGCAGTGATCACCAAGCAAGAAGATGTGGTGGAGGACTTATTGAGGGCTGGGGCTGACCTGAGTCTTCTGGACCGCTTGGGTAACTCTGTTTTACACCTTGCTGCCAAAGAAGGGCATGATCAAATTCTCAGTATCTTACTCCAGCACCGAAAGGCTGCGCTACTGATCAACCACCCCAACGGGGAAGGTAAGGAACAATTGTGGTTTAGCTTTCACTACCAGCTTTCTAAATAACTGCTAGGTATTTGACACCCAAACAAGCCAATGCGGTCAAGTGGGTTCCCACTCCTGGTAACCCTCTATTGTATGGTTTCCAAGCTGTCGATCATTAGGGGAATTAACAGGCTCATTTGTCTCCATTCCAAAGTGCTTTCAACTTGGACTCCTTGTTGTCTCTCTGGGTATTTCTTTTGCTCCCCATAGTAAACTTCTTTATAGATGATTTGGAATAATTTCTCCTTTTTCTGTGCTCTGTGTTCTTGGTATTCTTCCATGAACGTATTAAAAAAAAGAATAAATGTTATTTTTAAAATAATGTTTATAATCCTTTAAAATCATATACAACAAATGAATAGACAAAGTCAGGCATATACGTGGAAGGGGGGTTCATGGAAAACCGGATTGGAAAGGTAACAGTTTTTCCAAGAGTTTTTTTGAGCACCCCCACTCCCCCCGCACACTTGGTCTCTGGTCTGTGAGTATATGAAACCTGGCTTCTTCAGTGACTGTTTATTTGCTGTCTGCGTCTCCTGGGGATGTGATGGCAGTCTGGGGGATCACATTTAAGTTCATCAGAATGAACTTATCAAAAACCAAACCACTGCACATGCAGCGATAGGGGCCCTGTAGAGGGTTCCTGAGACCATTCATCTCTCTGAAAGCAGACAGCCTCTTCCTCCTGCTGAGCCACTGGGCAATTCAAACTTCTGGGCATGCGATTAGCAACCCAACTTTACCATCAGGAATCCCCCCGTGACCCAAGAGTGTCTGTAAAATCACATCTTGGGGTAGAAACCCTTTCAGCACTAGAAGGGGAACCAACCGTTTCCTTCAGCTTTTTGCCATTTCCTTTGGCTTCACTGAGGACCATCTTGGGAGCAGCCTTTCCACCCCTGTGACTGACTGTGTTCTTGGGTCGTAGGTCTGAACGCCATTCACCTAGCCATGATGAGCAACAGCATGCCCTGTCTGAGGCTGCTGGTGGCTGCGGGTGCAGATGTGGACGCTCAGGAGCAGAAGTCCGGGCGCACAGCACTGCACCTGGCTGTGGAGCACGACAACATCTCCTTGGCGGGCTGCCTGCTCCTGGAGGTGAAGGACTTATCCTCCTCTGTGCATTAAATACATTCCCAAGGGCTGGCTGCGGGGAGGGGGGGCGCGGGGTGAAGCAGGAGGGAAGGAAGGTGAGTAGTAAAATGGGTGGTGCAAACAGTTCATGTGTGGATGCCAATGGAAAGGTTGGCGGTTCAAGTCCACCTAGAGGCAGGTCCCTCAGAAGAAGGCCCGATGGTCTTCTTGCTAAAACTCAGCCATTGAAGACTGGAGTCCAGCCCTGCACTCACATGTGGTCACCGTGAGTCAGAGACCCTCGGCCACACCTGGCTTCGTTTCCGAGACTGATGTCGTCAAGCGCTTTCCTCGCTCCACTCAGCTCTATCGATTTAACATCTGTGAAAGGCTTCTGAATAGGAGCTTCAGGGGTCGTCCCCCCAGCATCTCGAAATTGGGACTTCTTCCACAGCAGAGCCAGCCCCAAACATAAACAGAGCTGGGAATAGCACCCAAAAGGCCAAGCAACAGAGGGAGACAGGGACAAAAGAGCAAGAGAACTTGCCATTAACCCTTTTCTTTGTGGGTTGGACTTTAGGGTGATGCCCAGGTCGACAGTACCACCTTTGATGGAACTACACCCTTGCACATAGCGGCCGGCAGAGGGTCCACCAGGCTGGCAGCTCTTCTCAAAGCAGCAGGTAAGGCGGCCCGGCCTCCTCAGTGGGAGGTGTCACCAGGAAGGCAAGCCCCATGTAACGCAAGGAGTAGAGCTGTCACGGCCCCTGCTTTAAGATGCAGACCTGACGCTAAAAGGCAGGGGTAAAACGACCGGGCAGATCGCTTTTGCACCTCTGTGTAGGCCTCCGCATGGGGATTGTCTTCCTTTTCACCTTTGCTTCTGTCAGGGTTTCGTTGTGAGCTCAAATCCAGCAACAAGGGCTCTTCTTTAAATTGGCTTTAATTCCTCATAGAGGAGATCAGGGGCAGTACCCGTCTCACACAGAGTCAGGAAAATGCTATGTCTGAGGCTGCTGGTGGCTAAAGTCCCCAGAGGGAGGGGAAGAATGGGGGTTCTTGTTATATGAAATAAAGACTTCCTCTTACAAGGAAGGTCTCTTGGGAGTTGATGTTTACAAGAAGCAGATTTGTCATGCATTGAGTACTATTAATTATGCTCAAGGGGCCAGAATAAAAATACTTGGTGCACATTGACCTTAGCACTCAGCTGCTAACCAAAAGGTCGGGAGTTCAAACCCATCAGCCACTTGGAGGGAGAAAGATGTAGCACTCTGCTTTCACAGAGATTGAGAAGCCCTATGGGGCAGTTCTGCTCTGCCCTCGAGGGTCGGTAGAAGTCAGAGTCGGAAGAAGTCAGAAGTCACAAGCGACTGGGCAAAGAGTTTGCTTTGTTTTTGTATCGACTTTATTGTAAACGAAGCACTGCAGCCAGGACGTACACGCACCGTCTCATTGAATTCCCACCCTCTCGGAGACAAATGTTGCCGTCATCATCCAGCAGACGAGAGAGACTGGATCCGAGGCCCAGAGTTGGCGGAGTGAGTAGCAGAGCTGTGAACCAGGCCCGGCCAATCTGAAATTCCAGATGCTGTTCTCCCCACCTTGTTTCTCTTTGCTATGAAGCTTGCCGGTCGGTGTACAGAGGCATTCCACCAAACCCTCGTGCAAGCATGTGACGTACACGGAGCTTGTGCTGCTCGGCCTGGAATCTCCAATGCCTTGCATGTTGAGAGCAGTAACAACAACAAATGCCTAATGGAATCAGTATCTCAAGCCTGCTCTGACATTGGATTTAAGGGTTGTTTTTTATTTAATGTTTTGAGTGAGAAATGCTTCATAAATTCAAGAAAATAGAGGGAGTTGAAAAAAAATCAACTCATCTATAAAAAGAATCCTGGTGCATACTACAACACGAATAAATCTTGAAACCAGTATGCTAGGTGAAATAAGTCCATCACAGAAGGCCAACTAAGGCATGATCTCACGTATTCGAAATATCAAAAGGCCAGTGTAGAGGAAGCAGTGCGTTTCTGTGGATGATGAGGGGAAATCTGGCGAAGATTGTGTGTGGTGACTGCACTGCGTGATTCAGGTCATTGATAGCACTAAATGGTATACCTGAAAGATGTTGCATTGGCAGATGTTTTAAAGATCTATATGTGTGATTCATCTATGTAACTGATTCTTTTTATTGTTGTGAAACCATGTAAATGTGTGTGCATAGTTATGTGTGTGTTTGCAACAATTAAAAATAAATCGTGCCGGAAAGATGAAGGAGCTTCATCTTCAGGGACATCGCGTTTTTCTCTAGCAAATGAAATCACACCCTCCCATGCAGCGGCCTTTCCTTTCCTCCTTTATCAAACGGAGCCTTTGTTTGAACGAGAGACCCCGTTACAGCATGCACGAGTCACTCTGGGAGTCATTTGTCATAATTAAGAAATGCTGCCAGAATCCTATGAAAAATCAGCAAGAAACAGCTTCTCCACCATATGGATCAAGAAACTCACGTGGACAGCCTACTTCCATGCCCAAAGTCGTGAAGAAGTGCCTTTAGGAACAACTATAGCCCAGCTCCTCTAGGCTCCCACCCTGTGAACTGGTTGTGCCCTAGATCAGTCCCGGACTGTAAAGTGAAGCAAAGCTACCACACCAAGATCTTTGACTTTCATTAGACTTCCCACTGCTTAAGGTGACACAACTCAAATGTTCTCCCAGCAATATGCAAACAAGATCATCTTCCCCAAAGGGTGTGCTGACAATATTCTCACCCAGTAGACACCAAGCGAAACATTAAAGTGGTTCCTTAGTCTTTGAGAAGTAACTCTTGATCTAATCTTTGAGGTTCTTTAGATGTTTTCTTACTGGAGGCAAAAGAGCACACAAGATTTCCCTAGAGCCAGCAGCCCCAACTTGTCGTCACTACACACCCTAACTGAATTGTTCTGTTTGGTCGGTTGGTTGGTTTGGGTTTGTTGTTGGTTGGTGGTGTTTTGTGTTGTTTGTTTAAAGATCGAGGTTGGACCTAGGAATAAAACTGAACTTGTTGTTTCCGGACATCGGTCAGGTTTGCTCATTTTTAGTGAGTGAAAGAAGAGGCTGAGAAATGTGTGTTTGCCTTTGCACATTTCAACATTGAGGTTTTTATCCCAAGGTGGTCTGCCTAGTCCCCATAAACTGCTGTCCCTTCACCGCCCCCAGATTAAAGAGGTGTCATTCAGTTGGAGAAATCCTAGGGAGATAAATATGAAACTCCATCTTCGCTCTTCTGTTTTTGATAATGTCCTCGGATTTCTAGGCTATCCTAAAACATCCTGAGAGTCCAAGTGAATTATAATTTAAAAGAAGTTTTATGGGTTCTTCAGTAGAGACATGATTGGTAGATTAAAAATTAGCCAAGCCATTGCCTCTGATAGTTGCTGGGCTTTGCCATTGGAAGTCTGACTCCTGCAGGGGATTGAAAGGAAACAAGATCTGAGTTTACCTAATGCTTTGTACCTTGATTGGGCAGGAGCAGACCCTCTTGTGGAGAACTTTGAGCCTCTCTATGACCTGGAGGACTCGTGGGAAAGGGATGGAGAGGATGAAGGGGTCGTGCCCGGAACTACACCTTTAGATATGGCTGCCAACTGGCAGGTGAGTGCTTCCCCAGTCCATGTGGCTGCCCCTGAGGGAGCTAAGGGTTCAGCAAGATGGTCTCCCTGGGTCTTAGTTTTCCCAAAGAGCATGGCTAGTATTTTTAAGGAAGTCTTGATTGTCAAGATCCATATTTGGCTTCAAAAACCTACCCCTGAAAGATCTGGGTCAGCTGAGTTCTGGTTGCCTCATCAGATCAGAGTGCAGATTTGAGAGCGCATTAGAAGAGAGAAGACGTATGATTCACAGAAGAGTTTCCATCCTGAACTCATGCCCGAGAGGTTACCGCCTCGGTTTCTGAAGTTAGGGGAAGTGTGATGGTTTGCTCAGCACTGAGGCTGGTGATTTCTGCACGTAACACAACAATGGGAATTCCTCTGAGTATGTCAATCAACCTTAACAGAACAACTGGATTTAAAGTCCTGCTCGAAACTCCACTGACTGAGAACTAAAGATAAAGACGGTGACTAGGTCTTCCTGGCCCAAGGAGAAAAGCCAGAGGCAGCGGATGGGTAGCACGTACGTGTCCTGCAAAACAAAATCGATTTCTCAGGGGCCAGTGCTGCTCCATCCATATCCACGTATGGATTCTTCCAGGCCTTTGTTTTTGAGCCGAATGACCTGGTGGAGAGACCATGTGGTTCGCCCCTTTTTAGCACCTCATTCCGTACCCCCCACACACAGGCCTCCCCACGAAGCATAGAAAGGTAACCTTCTTCAGTGATCTTTTGCTGTCTCTACCAGGTTAGCCAACGCGAAGCTACCTCAGAAAATACAAGGAAGGCCTCCGTAGCTCAGCCTAAAATTCCTCCCCTGGACTTGAGACTTGTGTTTGTTTTTGTTTCAAGATTGTACTAGCCCCTCAGTTAAACTGTACATTGCGCTAGAAGGATCGCACCAAAGCTTGTAAGCCTGTAGCCACCTTGAGAGCAAGTTGATACTGTTCATTGTCCTAAACCTTTAGGTGGGAGGAGGGGCCAACTCAGGGAACAGATGCATAGCTTTGAGGGGGCTCAGCTCTCAGGGGAACACCCTGACCAACTACTCTTTGATCAAGTGATAACTGCTTGGTGGCCTAGGCTGCCTTTGTCCCCCAGAAGAGCCTTGGGACAGAATCTCCCACTACTCGCCTGAGGCAGTTCCTGTAAAGCAAAGCACCCCTACAGCACCCCTACAGCGTGCACGCGTAGCTGGTGATGGTAGTGACCCCTCATGTCCGCTCCTCCTGCCTTGGGGTACTAGGTCTTCTAAGAAGGACATACTGAGTGATTTATCACAAAGAAACAGCTGACCCTGGTGGTCTGAATCATGTGTAATCTTTTCCCATATTTTCCATTCCAACAGGTTTTTGACATATTAAATGGGAAACCATATGAGTCAGAGTTTACATCTGATGATTTACTGGCACAAGGTGGGTCGTGATAGAACCCTAGTTCTCTTACCAGTGTTGTCTCCGTGGGATTGACTCAGTGTCGCCCAACAACAGGGACCTGGCATGAGCCAGGGCTGACCACGAGAAGCACAGTTGCTGGTTTCCGGATCAAGAGATCCTAGTGGGACACCAACGAGAATCTCCCGTTCTCATCCGCCGAAGCTACAGGCTGCTGTTACTCAGCTGGCTTCTGCAGACATTCAAGTCATGACTTGATTGCTTCCATTTGGGAGGTGGAGGGAGAGCAGCGGAGCACTGGTCGGTCCATGCGGTGTCCCTGGGAGGGGATGACAGACGTGTCTCCTTTTCCTTCAGGAGACATGAAACAGCTGACCGAAGGTGCAAAGCTGCAGCTCTACAAGTTGCTGGAAATTCCAGATCCAGACAAAAACTGGGCCACCTTGGCACAGAAATTAGGTCTGGGGATACTTAACAATGCCTTCCGGCTGAGCCCTGCTCCTTCGAAAACTCTCATGGATAACTACGAGGTAACCCGTCCTCTTGCGTATTGGACTGTCCTGATTTGACTTTCCTCTCTGGCCATCCCTGACCAGGCCGAAGCCCCTTCCCACTCCTTTCGCTCTGAGGGAGAACCCGGTGCTTGACTAAAGCCTGGTAGGGTGAGGCAGCTAGGATGGGAAGCCACCTTCCTAAACAGGGTATTTTCATGTGCTTTGAGAACTACCCAGAGTCCCGCAGAAAATACTCCTTTGAGGGTCTGGATTGCCTCAGAACTTTGATCCCCGGGAGAAAGAGGGAAGGAAGTCAACACACTGGTCTGCTTTTCCCCAAAAAAGACATCGCGCCCGTATGTCGGGACCTGCAGTGGTTGCTCCGTGGAGTGACTTCCAGCAGTGCTCTAACCTGGAGATGCTTTCGTTCCCGAAAATAAAATGTCAGTGTTCACTATTGTCTCTCGATGGTTTTCAGAGCTTCTGCTTACCCAGGGATCCTGCCTCCACATCATTCTTAAGTCAATGGTTCTCAACCTGTGGGTCGCGACCCCTTAGGGGGTCAAACAACCTTTTCACAGGGTTGCCCAATTCATAACAGTAGCAAAATTACAGTTATGACGTAACAACGAAAATAATTTTATGGTTGGGGGGGTCACCCCAACATGAGGAAAACTGTATGAAAGGGCCGCAGCGTTAGGAAGTTTGAGAACCACTGCTGTAAGTAGAGATCTGCTGCCTCAGCAAGTTCCCTTCTCTCTTCTCTCTCTGCTCACTGAAAACAACTTCTCTGTGCGACCCTGAGTGGTCTCCGAGCCAAGCTTGATTCAAAGGCTGGGTAGTCTTCATCACTCTGCCTACTACTGGCTCTCTCGCGCTCTCTCGCTCTCTCTCTTTCTGTGTGTGTATGTGTGTGTGTGTGTGTGTGTGTGTGTGTGTGTGTGTGTGTGTAGGAGACAGCATGGGCAAGGGGAAGGGTAGGGACGCAGTGCCGGGGTCCCCTGCCAGGGGGTTGCTCCATGTCCGGGGGTCTGAGCACAGAGCACCTTGCTCTCTTCCTCACAGGTGTCGGGAGGGACGGTGCAGGAGCTGCTGGAGGCCCTCAAGCAGATGGGCTACACGGAAGCCATTGATGTCATCCAGGCGGCTTTCTACAGCTCCGGCAGGGCGACCCCCAGCTCCAGGAAGACGCCCTCGCAGACCCGCTCGCCACCTCTCTCGCCTTCCGCCACCAGGCAGCACCTAGGTAAGGGCAAAGAGCCAGCGGTGCCTCCCAAATAGACTGTCCTCTGTGTCCGTCTAGCCCGGGGGCTCCTGGGCTCCACCTTCTGCCTGCCCCGACACTGCTATTGGGGCGAACAATGGCATAGACACCACATTTCCTTAGATTCGTGATGTATCATAAAAACAAACAAAACCCCGATGCGGTGGTTAAGGTAAATCTTATTTCCCGAATTCTCTTCAGTTGCAAGAGATAACAGAGAGGAAACACTCTCCCCGGTTTGTGGAAGCAGGACGAACGCCCGGGGATTGGGGGTTGATCCTGTGCTTTTTGCCTGTCCCTTCAGACCCACAGCCTCCTCCCTACAGCGCCTTCTCCTGGCTCCTCCCATTGACCTTGGCGTCTACCATTAGCTGTCTGGCTCCCCTCCCACCTGGAAAGCATGCACCCAAGTGGAAGGGACTCTTAGCGCCGCGCAGTAAGCCTCAACACCGGGCCTTCAAAAAGGCGTTAAAAGATAGAGCTTTCCCATGACCTTTTGGAAGCTGCTTCTGTGTTCACAGAAGCCTGCCCTCACACTCTCTACTCCGCAGTGTCCTTCTCTATCGAGGACTGCGAGAGCAGCATCCGCTGGACATGGTGGCTGTAACCAACAGACGTTGCTTTTCTCCCAGTTCAGGTGGCAGGAAATGGAATTCCGGGCGCCAGGTGTAGACAGGGCAGGCTTTCTGTCTGGGTGGGCACCGGAGGAAGGCCCTGGTCTCACCAGCTCTACTCCCTGGGTCCCTCGGAGATCTCCAGGTCTCTTGGCATCTGTCTTACTGGGTCTCAGCTTGGCTCACTTGTTTAGTTTCCTTCAGACCTCAAAAGAAATGGACTCAAGATACACTCTACACTAACGCTGCCTCACTCACTTCCCAAAGACAGCCCACTCCCA